CTGCCTCAACGGCTCACAGCTGGCGGTGGCTGCGGGCGGCTCCAGCAGGGCAAGGGGCGCCGACACCTGCGGCTGGAGGGTAAGGAGAGGACAGCGAGTTTCTCGCTGTCCCCTAGAGCGCGGGGGGCACAGGTGCTCGCGGGCAGTGGAGCCCGAGCCGACTTGCCTGCTCTACTCGGAGTGCGTGGCCGAGCTCAGATCTTGGCTGCTCCCGCCCTGCTGCCTCCCTCCCCCGGCTTGTGTCTGCCTGCCCCTGCTGGGATGAAAGGGGCCGCCCGACCCCCGGCTTTGTGTTGCTAATGAGGCGCGGCCACCGGCCGGTGTCCGGCTCCGGGAGGGCGGGCGAAAGGGGCGCCGGGCTGCGGGCAGGAGGAGGGCGCCCCACCCTTTGTTCCCGGCCCGGGACCTCCTCCGCTTTAGGGCAGCGCGCCCCAGGGTTGGGATCTTCCGAGGTGTCCGGATGGGGGGCTCTTTATGTGGGAGTGGGATTCTTCCCCCGGACGTCCTGTGCCCAGTTCTGCAAAGGCCCGGGACTAACAGGGAAGGGACCCTGAGCGCTGGGGAGGGGTGCGCCCCCGTCTCGGTCCGCTTTGTTCCTTCTGGGCTGGTCCATCATACCCCCTTTGACCCCACCCCCGACTCCAGACTTGCTTGTAAATTTTGCTTCCACATTCAGTCCTTCGTCTAGTGAATGGTCTCACAGATGACTCCCACCCCCAACCCCAGCCTCGCTCCAGTTTGAGTTGAGGTTATCTTTAATGGCCAAAGGGAGGCATGAGTTTGTCACTTCGGTCAAGTGCCCTGGAAGAGACTGGAGAGGTGCATCGACTTTCACCGTGTGCTTCAAACTCTCTCTCCCTAACAGAGAGCCTCTTTGACGCTGTCTTGGTGGTGGGACAAAGGGTAGGCGGGTGTGCGTGGGGACATTGTGCTCCCCAGTCCCCTCAGGGCTCCTAGGCTTGGGCATCCGTAGGATCTGGAGACTGCATCCATCTGCCCCTCACCGCTCCCATCCAAGCCAGGGCCAATCCTGTGTCAGGGCACTCATGGCCTTCACCCTTGTGGAGAGCACACTGCTTTGCACTCAGGCATCCAGGGCAGCCCGGAGTCTCAATTTCTTCGCCTGAAAAATGGGAGTAATTGGCGATTTCCTAATCTCCCTAATACTGCTGCTCTGAGGGGTGGGTAAGGGGTGCTTCTCTTAGAGCAAAGCTGACCCACCTCTTGTGGGGTGCTCTGAATGGCCTCAAGCAGTCAAAGCCTTGAACCTCACACCCTGTTAGGAACACAGGCTGGTGCTTCCAGCTCACTCGCCCCACGTTCAGAGAAACACAGTGCAGAAAACTAGGTATGAGCCAGGCAGCTAGGATGTCTTCAAACCCAGTGGCTTCACTATAGATGGCTATATCCCATCCTTCCACTAACCCCATAGTGAATATAACCTCCTTCCTATCTGAGTTAAATACCACGTTTTCTTACTCTGTCCTATTTTAGTAAAATATCACTATACTTTAAAAAAAAATAGATACCAAGTTTTCTGTAGTTTTTAAATCAAAAAGTTTTCCTACAGGCTATCCCACAATGACTTATTAATTCTTCTAAATTTTTTAGATCTAAACAGATATGCTGGCTTTTGAATGACTGTAACAGCATCATAGGCATTTTATTCTGAATTTTCATATGACAACATAGGTGGATAAGTCCAATGTTCTGCTTTTCTGCAATTGCCTAGGTGGCTTCACGATTCAGTGCACAACGCTTGTGAAGTTTTAATGCTATGGGTATAGCAGGGCCCCAAAGGAGCCAACCTGGTGGATTTGTGCTTTCTGTGAGAATGTGTTCTCCCCTAAACCTGTACCGTCTACAGAATTAATGGTGCCCTCAGATTCATGCTGGGGATGACCTTCTCAACAGCTCCTACCTGGGCCCCCCAGTCCTTTCCTTGGGTCATCTTCATCTACTTCCTGAATGAGCATGGAAGCCTCTGGGCCATCTTCTGGATTCCAGGCTCTTCCCAACCTGACACAGGGCTCCTTTGCTGTTGGATTTGCTTTTTGATGCATCTGATGGGAGCCCCCATCTTTCCCTGATCCAACTTGCCCACCTGCCTTGTGTACCTACTTTTCCAATCTCAGCCTTGCCCCTCCCACCCTGCTCCCTAACTCTTGTACCATTTATGCTACTTTTATGGTTTTTATGCTTTAGGCATGCTTTTTTCCTGCTCCTAGGATGCCTTTTCTTCCCATGAGAACCCCTCGTTTGGCCTAAAACTCAGCTCAGATGATGCCTCCTCCAGGAAGCCCTCTCTGAATGCCATTACCCTTGCTCTGCCTTCTCAGGCAGGCCCTTGCACTTTGGTTCTCACCAGACTACATCGTCAATGTTTGTTCACATCTGTGTTTTCAGGCTAGTTAGTTTCTTTAGCTAGGCACTCAACCTTATGTTGGTGGGCTCAGAGCCTGGAGCCCTGTAAATCTTGGCTGAACCCAGTTAGACCCTGCAGCCTTCCTGCTAAATCCTGCATTAAGTGATAGATTTTAAGAAGTGTGGGAGGGCAATCAGCACATCGAGCTCTAGTGTCTTCTCAGCAGCGGGCTTTTGTCCATGCTGTTCGTTCCTGCTGGTGCTTCTCCTCTTTACACCTCAGCCCCCCCTCTCAGCTCCAGCATCACTTTCTGCAAGAAACCTTCTCTGACCCTACCTCCCTAGGTAAATTTTCCCAGAAGTTGCTCTGTCAGAGGCCTGGCCAGAAGTACTGGTGTACTTGATTCATGTCTGAGTCCCCTACCAGATAGTGGATGTTCAGCCCATAGATCTTGGTCTTAGTTCTGAGGTTGCTTACAGTCTAGCTGGGGCTATGCTAACATCTAAGAATAAGGGTGGAATACGTGTGATGCAAACGGGAGAGAGCTTCCTATGGGTCTAGGGCACACAACCTGAGAGGGAGCACCTATGGGTGGAGAAGCGAGCCTTGAAGGAGGAGCAGGAACTGGGTGCTGGAGAGGAGCTGAGCGATTGACTCCTTGCTCTCCTGGGAGCGTTTGTTCCAAGAACTCTTGCCCCTGCAGGAATGTGTATTTTCCCAGGACTCGCAAGGTGACTGCAGCCGGCTAACCCTCAGCAGCTGTAACCCTCCTTTTGGGGTTGCTCTTTGAGGAGCCGGTCTGGTTTAAATGGTCAGATTTCACAACCTCTCCATTATTAGTGGGGCAATTAAGGGGCTGATACCATCTTGAACACAGTGCAATGTTTTAGAAATGAGTGTGGGCACACTTCCTCGGTTGCTTTAAAAAAAAAAAAAAGCTCTTAGAGCACTTGCCAGGTAAAGTTGCCCTTTGAGTAATAAATACAGTTTTCGCAAAGAAGTAACAAGTTGTAAAACTTCTGGAGGGGCCGGCATCCTCATTTACACTTACAGGGTCTTAACTTCTTGTTTCTTGGAAGTGGAGTGGTTTTGTTTGTGATGAGTAACTTTGTATCAATCACTTGCTCTGAGGTTTTTTTTCCCTCCTCTTGCCTTGCTGGTTTGAGAAGCCTATTTATGGAACAAGGATTTAGGAATCTATTCCCACAGGTTTTTATTTAGTGGCTTTTCCTGCAGTGGAGGAAGAGGGAACATTTGCCTTCTTACCTAAATGGGGTACACCTTTCCTGGTCTATAATCCCTGAAAAAGAATTTCCACCCCCCACCCCCGAAAGTCTGCTCTTTCAGGAATTCAGGAATCCAGAATGCTGGCATCGTCTTTACAATGAAGTGCAAGTTTCCCATTTAAGGCAAATACTTCATCTCAAAAGGTAGGAAGGAATAGGGTGGTACTTGGAAAAGAAGAAGTTCCAGCTGGTTAAAATTTAGGTTCCTGATAAAAGTCCAGTCCAAGAGCTCTCCTTGGCTGTGGGCCCAGGCATGTTTATTTGATTCTAAATTGGATGCGTTTTCATTCACTTGCAGCTTGTGGCTCTCAAGCCTGCATCTGGTCTGCTTGTCCTGTGGCCATGTTGTCCATGTTACACATGCTCTTGTGTCTCTTACAGAATTCTTGGTTAAAAATGACTCAGCTCTGGTTGACACATTTTCAGAGAAACATTTTTATAAGTGTGATGCTTTCTTCCAGCCTGTTTTACTGTGTTAATTGGGAATCATCTGGCCCAGGTCCATCTTTCTTGAGCAGCCCTCCCTCCCGTCTCTCCTCACCCCGAGACCCTGCAGGGCCTGGGGCATTGTGGTGGTTATTAACTCGTGGATACAGCTGGATGAATGAGACCAGCAGCTAAGTACCAGCCGTGGCACCATTTCCTTCCAAAGATAATTTCTCATGAAGTCCAGGGGCTTCCAGTATTGGGATTGCCTTAGGAACCTCGTTAAAATGCAGATTCAAGGCCAGTGGGACCAGAATGGAAGTGAGGTGGGGCCCGGGAATTGACATTTTAATAAGTTCCGCTGATGAAGGGAGGTGAAAAGCAACATTTTAAACGTTTAAAATTAGAGCTTGACTTTAAACTACTTCACTGGACTTTTAGCATAGAAAGTGGAGACTGTCAGAGCCCTGGAAAATGACAAGGATGAGGCTGGCTGAGGGGGGAACTGGGAAGCCAGCCGGCTGGGGTGGGTGTCTCCTGCCTGGGGTTGAAGAGGAGGCCAGGAGTGAAGGGGACCCGACACTTCCACCGGGTTCCTCCCCAGAACAGCTGGGCTTGTCTGGAAAATAGTCTTGGGAAAGAGTAGAGTAGGATCCAAATCATATTCTCAGCCACTCAATCCTTACAGACGGGTTCCCTACAAAGGAAAGAACTGCTAATGCTTTTTGAAGTCTTTATTTTAAGTTGAGTATTTTTCATGCTTCATTTGGCCTAAAATGTGTTGGTGCTTTTTTTTTTCAAAGCTTTCAAACTCTCTTTCCCGCATCGGTCCCTGAACTTTTCACATACCATGCCCCAGCAGATGTCTGCTGCTGCTGGGGCCACCCTATCAACAATTAATTGTCCCTTTTATTCCTCACTGCTTTTTGCATCTGCCTCTGATGGATGGGTTTTTAGGCTTCTGCAAGCTTGCCCCCCCCCCCCCGCCTTGATTTGTAAGAG